ATCCTGGTTGCCCAACCTGGCATGCTGTTTTGTTCGCTTGTTGCACTGCTAGTTAATTTTATGAAAAATTGACCTCATTTCCACATCACCTTCATCTGTAGTTGCACAAAACTATGGTTTAAATGTGAACAGGCAGCATGTCTGATGCAGACTGTGGAAATTGTACATGCTTTGCTCCCCTCCTTCTGCTGTTCTTCGCCTGGGAATAAGTCACAGTCTAGCTTAGTGTTACGAGTAAACCTGCACTTGGTGTTTGTTTCTCTCCGGACTAGCCACAAGATTTCTTCTTGTTTACCACTCATGGTTTCTTTGTGGGAAACAAACCACAAGCCCAGGGTTCAGAAGGAATGCTAAGCTAAAGCATGCTCCAATCCTAGCAGGAGAAAAGTTTCCATGATTTCACCAGAGTGTACTTGTACTAGCACACTGCATGTGCATATTTAAACCTTAGCTCAGTTTTCATTGTGGTTTAAAGTGATGTGCAAATGAGGCCAATGACTTTCTAAAACCAGGACATTTTCTGCAGAAAAATGGAGTCAAGGGAATTTTCCAGCCCACCTCTCTGGGTTTAACACAGTAAGAATTGTTAGACAGTGGGAGAGACTCCCTAGGGAGGTGGTGGGCTCTCCTTCCTTGGAGGTTTTTAAGCAGAGATTGGATGATCATCTGCCATGAATACTTTAGCTGATATTCCTGCATTGGGGGGGGGGGGGGGGGTTTGGACTGGATGACCATTGGGATCCCTTCCAACTCTACAATTCTACGATTCTTTTATTCTAACCCTGCACTGATGGCAGAAGTGTGTAAGGGACAGCTTAGGCAAGGTTGCTATGGTTTAGCGCAGCAAACCTAAATGGCTCAAGCAAATGAACCTAAAAATGGATAAGAAAAGGTGAAAAGTCATTAGAGTTGACCTCCGCTGCTGATAATGCTCACATCAGCTTCCCTCAGAGCTCTGGAGGAAAGCTAAAAGAGGTAGAAAATGACAGCTGCTCATACGGTCTCAGTGTTACTGGGTTAGGCAATTGCCTCTTATTATTCATTATTGGTAATTCTAACATTTATTTGGCACAACCAGCTAACCAGGAAGGCTTAAACAAATGCAATGGCAGCAGCTAAATATGCAAGTCATCCTTCCCTTCCCTTTATTGCAGTAAACAGACCCCCCCTTTTTTTATTGGGGCACTTGGCAGGATTCAGACTTGTCATTTTCAAACATGATAAATAGTCATTCTGTTTAGGTGGCTCTTGCATGCAGTCATACATGGAAGGCTACTGGTCTCCATCTTCTTGGATTCAACAACGGCTCCAAAACAATATGAAGCATGACTTCAAACAAGATTAAAAAAACACAGCATCCAACCACTGAAACAGTTCAGCGGCATGCATAAAAATATATCCGTCTAGGCTCGCACCAGATGCCTGTGTGAAAATATGTTTTCAGCTGATGTTGAAAAATCACCGGGGGTGGGGGGCACCACAGAGAAGACCCTAAGACAATTTACCATACAACAAGCTACACTTGTTGATGGGACCATGAGAAGATCCTCCTTGCCTGATCCCCAGGCAGGTAAGCAGCCTTCATTGTGTGTACCACTTGCTGGGTTAAGGGCAGCAGGCCTAAATCAGGTGTGTGCTTCAGTAGGGATGCTGGATATAGATTCAAATGTCGATCTTGATGTAGATGGTAACTTGTGCATTCAGTTGAAAACCATACAGAACAGGTAGATCAGCATTTGCACTCAGATATACACATATCCATTTACCCCCATGGTCCTTAAACCTATGAAACGACATTCTTATTCACATTTACAGTGTTTCTCAAACTTGAGTCTCCAACTGTTGTTGGACTACAACTCCCATCATCCCTAGCTAGCAGGGCCAGGGTCAGGGATGATGGGAACTACAGTCCAACAACAGCTGGAGATCCACATTTGAGAAACGCTCTGGAGGAGGAGTGTGGGTGAACCAAGCTTAGAGGTTAGTTCTGTACTCTTCATCCAAAATCCCTTGAGTTGAGAGGGGCGATTTATTCCTCCCCGCGAATTGTTAAGTGATGAAGATGCAATCCCTTTGGTAGCTTAAAAGTTCTTTTGGGGAACAGTGGAATGGGGCTTAGAGAATGTACACTTTGTATGGTGTGCATCAGATTCTTATTTCCCCCTTTGCAGCCACAGGATGAAGAGATGTTGCCTGTGTTTTCTAGTGACGTGAGAGCAGCACATCTGCAGTCGCTATGTCCAGGCAGGACCCTGCAGCAGATATCAAGGGTGCCATTCTGCAGAAGGAGCAGAAGTACTTCCAAATGTAGTAGGTAAGTAATACCACTTAGTGTCTAAAGAGCCCTGCTTCCCATAAAACCATTAAGGGTTTGAAATTGCCTAACTGCACAGCCTCCCATATCTGCTGGGTGTTGGGGTGTTTTATTGTTTTGTTATTTTGATATTTTTTTAAAAAACAGGATTTTACCACATACTTGCCGTGTTCCTCTCACATATAGGGGTCAACTCTGGCCCTGGCTGTTCTCCCCTCCCACACCCCATTTCGACACATAGTGTGACAGTCTCCTTTTTTTAAATTTCAGGGAGTGGTTAGTTGGTTGCCCGTTTTATTTGTCTGACGCGTTGCAGGCAGGAACTCAGCTGGTGTGACTCTGTTTCCAACAAGGTGATTTCAATGATGTGGAAATTCAGGAACTGCACGCTTTTCACACCCTTGAATCACCCATGTTAGATAAAAGTCACACTTGACAGGTTTCTGCCTGCTGGGCCTTTGTTGAAGGCGCTGGACTCCAGTTGCTAGGGGGGGCCAGCCAGGGGTCTTTCCACAGGACCATTCAAAAGCATTTACTGACTTCTTTAATCTTGGAGATGGGGAACTCCTATAAGAGACCTTTCAGTATCAATAAGACAGTTATGCTGTTTTCCACTGAAAAATGCAAAAAAGCAAAGAACAGCCCGCCACAAATCACAATATTGTAAAGTGTGCATTCCTATCCCAAACAACTAAAAACTACCTAAGAAAAAACACACCCACCTTAAAAGAATACTAAAAAAATAGCATGACATGAAAGTGATTTGAAGAAGAAACCATGGACTGCTGCTAAGTAACTGATGCCACAAAACTGTAGGTGTATATTGCAAGCACAATTGCAAAGAATGCTGGGGGAAGGGGAAGCACTGCCATTTTTTAAAAAGACACATAATATAGTACTTTGCTCTTGTGAAGAAAATGTGCAGGCTGCACAACAAATATACCTTTGATGTGCAAACGAGAAAACTGGCCCTGTGCAGGATGGATTAAAGAGTCCACTTTGATATTGCAGTTGGGGGTGGGGAACGAGCCAAGTGTGTGTAGCAAGCTGCAAGAGAGACGTTAAAAGTTTGCAAACAGGAACAAAGCCTTCCCTGCCTTCCCTGGATTGGCCGGCAGGCATCTCATTTAAGAGCTCCTGCTTAAAGAGAGGCATTTGCTGAATCCTATCTGGTGGTCCTTTTGCTGTGTCACCTGAGAATGCTAAGCCACAGCTACAGATAGGATTAGTCATCCTGAACTGCTAAAAATGTTGATGAACAAATGCAGAGAATGGATGGTGTTGGAATTCCAGTTTAGGTGTCAACAGAGAACTGGAGAGCGGGAGTATGGGCATTGCTTCCTCGCTTTTCCTCTGTGTTTAACGTACAAAATATATTCTACAGGGAGATTGTTCCTTCTCTTCCTGTGAGCCTACTCTGAATCAGCCATCGCTGAATCCTGGTCATAGCTTGGGATGTTCAGGCACTAGCATGCCAAAAAACAAAACAAGGCAAGGCAAAACAGGTGTGGCTCAGGCAGAAAGTCTCCAGCTCTGTTCGTCTGCAGGTTGGGCTGGGAATGTCCCCCGTCTGAAACTCTGGAGAGCTAGATGAATCAGTCATCTGACTCAGTACAAGGCCACTTCCTATGTTCCCAAAACCTGCCACCTCCTAATAGAGCAGGAAGATCCTTGGCTGAGACTCAGAGAGCCGCTGCCAGTTGGTGCATAGATAATACCAATCTAGATGGAACAATTGTTCCGACTGGCAGTTCTTATGACCTGATGGCAACAGCCTTCGTCTGGTGCTGCCGCTGGAGGTGGATTTGGTTCTTGCGGCTGACAACTTAAAACAAAAACGTTCCCTCTTTCCTGCACCGATATCCCGCCTTTCTTCTACAATGGAACACAAGGTGATGCACATGTGGTTCCCAGTTGGTCACCCATCTCAGCACTGACCTGACCCAGATCTTCAAGGTGCCTTCAGCCCATATCCTGAGACCACTGTCCCTAGACCTGGGCTCCCTGAACATGTCTAACCTTCCTCCTACCCCTGCACAAAAGCAATCTAAGCTTTGGGCCATCGCTACATCGGATGATAAATGGATTGTGATTATTAGCTATGATAGCCGTATCAAATTATGTATGATGAAGCACCTTGTTTTGTCAGTTTCCCCTTCCACCCTCTGCTTATGTCAGCTCAAGTAAACAGGCCTGCTTCCATCACCTCAGGCTTGGCCCTTAGATTTTAAGTGGAAGTTCTAATCCAGGGGTCAGCAAACTTTTTCAGCCATGGGCCGGTCCACTGTCCCTCAGACCTTGTGGGGGGTCGGACTATCTTTTTGGGGGGGGGGATGAACAAATTCCTATGCCCTGCAAATAACCCAGAGATGCATTTTAAATAAAAGGACACATTCTACTCATGTAAAAACATGCTGATTCCCAGACTGTCCGCGGGCCGGATCGAGAAGTAAAATCCGTACCCTTTCAGAGGAACTGGCCCATGTTTCTAGCAAGACTGGATCTGAATTTCAGCCAGCAGAGGGCAAATCCATTAGGGTACATGGGGCACTGGCCCACCAACTTCAGCTTGCCCTCACCCACCCCTACCTTCCTGCCTTATTCATAGACTATTCACAGCATCGTAGAGTTGGAAGGGATCCTGTGGATCATCTAGACCAACCTCCTGCAATGCAGGAATGTGCAGTTGCCCCATACGGGGATTGAACCTGCAACCTTGGCATTATCAACACCATGCTCTAGCCAACTGAGCTGTCCAGCATGCATTCTGACTTACAACTAGTCAGCAAGGTAGTACTACCTGTCAGCTCTCTCCTCCTTAACCACCATGTTGCCTTTGGAGAACTCAGCAGGGAGGAAGATGGGAACAAAACTAGAATTAGCTGGCTCTGCTTGCCATTGGCTTTGGCTCCATCTGGCACCCACTCTGGCACCATCGACTTAGATTCCCTGCCTTCCCGTTTTGCCCGTCCAAATGGACACAACAACCACTGCTGATTTCAGCCCTTGGCAGGGGAGCCTCTGACCCTTTGGCGAACCTACCCATGTAGCCCTCTCAAGACACACTCAAACTTATATTAGCACAAGCTTGGAGGACAGAAGAAATACCAATGAAAGAACAATGGCAAGGGAAACTTGTGTAATATGCAGAACTGGCAAAATTAACAGATAAATTACATGAAAAGGATAACAAAGACTTTAAAAGAGAATGGGAACCATTTACAACATATATGAAGAAACAACATAAAGAATTGGACTCACTGGCAGGGTTTGAATAAGCAAACACAATTGTATATAACAAAAAGTAAGATTATACGTATTGGGAAAATTTTGGGAAACAACATGCAGGGTGAGTAATATGGAAATAAAATAAAATGGGAATATGAGGGAAGTCCAGGGGAGGAGGGGGGGAAATATGGAAAATTGTTAGAGAAATATTGTTAGAGGATGTATACATGAAAAAACCAATAAAAAATATTTTTTAAAAAGACACGCTCAAACTAAGGGCAAATGTGTGTGTGGGGGGGGGGTTTAAAGGCATGTACATTAAGTGAGAAATGCCAGTAAATCATGGCTTCCTATCGCACGAGCATGTCTCTTGGCACCAGGGTACATGCCTTTTAAAACATACATTTGCCTCCCACAAGGAACATGATATGCTTTCACCACAATTTTATGAAGTGGCCCCATGTCAATGTGATAGCCATGATTTACGGCCACAAATATGAATCTGCTGTTACTAATCTCCTACTTATTTTAAACCAGAGATTTTCATCTACTCTTAACAAATGCATGAGGCAAGGTGTCATTTGAGTCTTGAATCTTTAGGGCACTGGGGTGAGTTTAAGCATGTGCAGAGTGCCTTTTTGCAGATCACAGTTCACAACTGCCTCCCCCCATCGCAAATGTGGGTTAGTGGTTCAGGCTTCCAGAGAAGATGCCAGGATTTCTTGTCACTATGCCAATGTGGCATAGCAAGTTAGTGTGTTGGACTAAGACTAGGGAGAACCCGGGTTCAAATCTCCACTCAGCCATGAAGCTCATTGAGCGACTTTTGGCTGCTCACTATCTCTCAACTGGAGTTATTTCACTGGGCTCTTGTAAGCATAAAATGTGGGGGGAGGACAGGATAGGATAGGATCTAGACGCAATGCCCTGTGACATCTTGCTTTGGGAAATTTAACACCAGTGTGAAGAAAATGGCAGAACGCAACACACCTGAAAAATATGTACCACTTATGATAAAAGAGAGAGGAGTAACCCGCTGCCAAGTACTACAGCCTCCACAAGAGCCATACAATTGTAGAGTTGGAAGGGACCCTGTGGATCATCTAGTCCAACCCCCTGCAGTGCAGGAATATGCAGTTGTCCCATACAGGGATTGAACCTGCAACCTTGGCATTATCAGCACCACACTCTATAACCAGCTGACCTATCCAGCCCAAGCTAACGGAGATAATGGAGAAGAAGTCACATATAAGTAACCCGAGCAGGACAAAACATTTTTCAGGGATGAGGGCCACCTATTCTACCCCTTTAGCAATCACTCGTGTTGTAGAATAAACCCCACGCTTAGATAACTGACTGAGGTGAGTAGGCCAGTTGCACAAAAGCATAAACGTGAAGGTCGTGAGGTGGAAGGGGTAAGGAAAGCCAGTCCTTCATTTTGGGGGTGTACAGGGTAAAGAGAACGTCTTCGCCTCAGCAGATCTGCCTGCTCTGTGGGGGGGAAAAGGGACCCCGTAGCAGTCAACATGCTGCACAGCGAAGGGAGTGGGGAAGCGTTGCCTAGCAACCGGGCCTGGAAGCTGCAGCAGGGAATTGTGACCTGGCAGCTAGATGAACAGTGTGCGGTGGGGGGGTGGGGTGCAAGCAAGGTTGTGTTTTTTTTATTCCCCCGCTATAGGATTTGAGACAATTTAGCATTTAAAAAAAAATGTTTTGTCACACCCGACATTATTACTGTTGTTTTTATCCCTACCCCACCCCCAACATGCTATATGCTATACGTCTACATGCTATAATAGAAGCTGCAAGCAATTCAGAGACAGAGAATCCGAACGGCAGAGGAGGGGGTAGTGGTGGAATTCAATGCTAAAAAAGGGAGAAAGGTGTGCGAAAAAAATATTCCTGTAGCGTTGTGGGTATGACGATTGCCTTGGCTGGGTAACGCGCAGCAATGCCGTGGGGGTGGGGAGAAGTGTGGCTTAATGGGAGGTAGGAATGGAATCTGTCTTGTGCATGAAGAGACAATGGGGGGGGCAAGTCGCACCAGAGCTCCTTGAGTAGCATAAATATCCAATTTCTTCTTGTGGCAATCATGGCAGTTGTTCTGTTGTGGAAACTACTACAGTTCCCCACCCCAGCCGGAACTCAGTTCTGGCCCCTCTCAGGTGGGCGCCATTGCCATTATAAGAGAACAAGGGAGGCCTTCATGGTGATTTCCAGCACCTCTTTTCCTAGAGAAGTGGCCAAAAATTGGGGAGCAGGTGGCTGCTTCCTTTTCCAGTCTTCCATTGTTTGGGAAGGAGAGAGTAGGTCTTGCCAAACCAAGGAAACTTCTTAGAGGTCAACTACTACCAATGCTATTTTTCTAGAAAAAGCCATTCTGGAACTCATCACAAACGCCTCCCTTGTTCTCTTATAAGGGCAATGGCGCTCACCGGAGAGGTGCTGGAATGGAGTTCCAGCTGAAAAAAGCCCTGACTACAGCCATAGCTCATTGATCGAGCATCTGCTTTCCATTATGAGTTGATCACAGGGATCTCCAGGGTACATCTTGTCTGAAATCCTGGAGAGCCACTGCTGGTCAATGTAGACAATACGGAATAACAGTCTGACTTGGTATGAGGAAGCCACTGCTTCCTATATTTCTAACTCCCACCCACCCTGACCATTGGGCATGCTGGCTGGGAATCCAGCAACCTCTGGAGATCAATGACGTGAAAGGAGTTAGCTTCAAAGTCAGCATCGCTATCAAAGAAATTGCACTGCCATTGTCAAATCCAGCTCTCTCGCGTGTTGTAGCTGCAACACTTAGGAGGGATGACTAACTGAGAAGGAGAGGAACGAAAACATTGATATCACTCAGATAGCAATTCCTTCCACATTTTCCCTCACAGTGTCCTTGCTTCTAGCAGGGATGGGCCTTGTGACTTTCCGTAGTTGGACTCCCAACTCCCATCAGCCCCAGTCAAATATGGCAAACGGTCAGGGAGGAGAGGCAGGATATAAATTTAGTGAAATAAATGAATAGCGGTGTATACACAAGGGTTGCGTTTCCTCGCAATAAATGTGCATGCAGTCCCTGGGAAAGGATTGGGTCCCTGTTTCCATGTTTATTGTGTGTGGGAGTGCAGTACTTAAACTTGCACTGTGCGCAAGATAGGAACATGGATGAGGTGTGCTGTGAGGACCACTGTAATAGGAAAATGTAAACATCTAAGTAAAATTCTTGTAAGGTTGGCAAGTTATCTTCGTCTTCTGTACATGCCATTAAATACTGTATATTAAAGTTTCAAATATACTCTGCGTGTGTGTATAAAATGTAAATACCTGAGACATTTTAAAAGCACAAGGACAGCCCTCCTGGATGAGACCAAAGGCCTACATAGTTCGGCATCCTGCTTTTCATGGTTGCCAGGCAGATGCCTCCGAGAAGCCTACAAAGAGGGTATGAGGGCAACAGCCCTCTCCCACTGAGGTTCCCCTTCAGCTGATATTCAGTCTGTGAATGTGCTGCCTGATTTCAGAGTCAGAATGTGCTGCCTGATTTCAGAGTTTCTATGTAGCCAGCAGTTTTGTTTGCAATGCTAAACAACCCAGGATGTGAGCCAGAGAGAGTGTGGGTGGGTGCCAACAGCTGCTACCATCACCAGATCTGGTGTTCATGGTGGTACACAAAAGGTCAAATAAGCTAAAAATGGTGATAGACGTGGGCAGGAATGGAGATCACTCACCAGTCTAAAAGACTTTTCAGCCACCACAAAACCAGTTCACTCGGCACACCCCTTTCAACCTGATATGCAGCAGTAACTTATCTGAAAGTTTCTTCTTTATAAAATCATTTATGCTCTGCCTTTTGGCCCTTGATGGGGCCTCCAGGTGGCTTACAATTATATTTATATATGTGCATAAATACAATAAAAAAAGCATTAAATCAGAGCTATAATTTAAAAGTGGAGAGAGAGAGAGAAATCAGAGCTATAATTAGCACCATGAGCACAGATCAACACATTACAGTTTTAGGCTTATGCCTAAAAATGTAAATGTGTGAGTAGAGCAAATGGGTATTTGAAAATATGTTTGTCATGCAGGTACATTTGTCAGGACCAGAACTGACTGACTGCAGCTCTCTGTTAAATGTACTTACAGCAGCAAACCCAGGTGTGCTGCTATATAACTCTCCAACCGTCCTGACAAGCCAGAATTTGAGTGGCTTTGCCTTGTTTGGCTTGGCTTGCAATTGTGTTAATAGAAGTCATTGGCCTGGTTCTCATATCACTTTAAACCAAGCCATGGTTTAGCAAATGTGAGCTCCTGGACAGCAGATCATGATGGCTTTGCTTCTCCACGTCCATTTTGCTGCTGCACTTCATTGAGCTAAGCCATTGCTTGGTTGCAGTGTGTTGCCTGAACCCAGATTGGTGACTAACCATGAGCTGTAAACTGAGAACAAAGCAATGGTTTGGCTTAGCATGCTGCGTGAACCAGGCCATTGGGTACACTGCTGCAGCTAGCTATTTCTCTACAGGGAGAGCAAGCACTTTGGAAAATAGGCATGCACGACTGATAATTATTTGGATGGGACGGTAATGTTCTAATGGCAATGTGGAATATGTGGAATCCCCTCCTCACAGGAAGTTGTCATATCTAGAATTCATCATGTTGTGAACATGCTGTGAAGCCAGTAAGAACCATTTTGAAGGTATCCCAGCCATTCTGGGCAGCTACCAACAAAAGGTCCATGGTCAGGGCCAATGGAAGATGTAGTCAACAACATCTGGAGGGCCACAACTCCCCCATGTCTTGAGTTAGAGGACTGGTTTTATTTATTTTTTAGTTCAGATAATGTATGTTCCTTTTTCCAGAGTCTTCAGTGCCAGATTTCAGAATGGAGCATAACTGAACATGAAAACATATATAGGAGCCTGGGGAAGTTAACATAGTTTGACTTCATTTAAAAAAATAATAATGAAAATGCTCCTTTGTGAAGCTGGTGCTTCTAATTCCGAATGACAGAAAATTACGCGCGAGCACACACACACACCCTTTCAGTCAGATACTTTGTGTGGAACAAAATGAAGCCTATACTCACTTGAAAATTTTGCCATGGAGGGAGAAAAAAAGAGAAACGAATATTTAATACCAATTCTTTCGAAGTCAGGGGTGGAGGGGCGGAAATCCAAAAAAACTTCAGACCAGAGGCCTTCACATCTCATGTGAGGTACTTGCTTGAAAGTTAGGAACTCCACAAACATATGGAGAGCACAATTATCCCACTCAGGGGCAAATGACACTTTCATGGATACTATATGAAAATTCTCCCTCGGGAAGCAAGCTGCTAGTGACAGTTCCCTACAGCTGCACAGTCCCAGCTGCTGTGGAGTAAATTCTGCCTATAGAATTAACTCAGCTCCTCCATGGATAAACATCAGGCTTTAGAAGGCATGTTTCCTGGTTTTATTCACCTTCCCTGGATGCACCAAAAACTGTTTGATCCACTTGTGTCCACAGACTGCAGAGCAGTGGGAAGAAAATACATACAGCCACTGATCCAAATCAGCAACTGGTTTCCTAGGCTTTAAGTTACGAGAACATAATGTCTGGCCTCTCTCTTTCCCTGCTACCCTGTCTATGTTCTGGCTCTTGAATCCTTGCTTGCAACAAAGATTCTCACTCCAGTGTAATCTTTTTACCCAGAGGTTCTCAGATATTTTTCCTAATAATGATTACTGGGCAGGAGATCATGATATCTGTAGCAAACCGATGCCATCTCCACACCATACATTTAAATGCACATTTAAAGCACATGGCTTCCCCCAAGAATTCTGGGAACTGTAGTTTTCCCCTCACAGAGCTACAATTCCAAGCACCCTTAACCTACCATGGTTCCCAGGAATCAATCAAAATTAATCCAGTGCACCCTTTAAAATGTGCCCAACCTAGTATGGTTGACTCACTTGGCGCTCTCGGCTGGTCTTACTAACAAGAAAGTGCATTTTGAATCATCATAGCCCAACTCCAGCAACAGCTTTTTGAAATATATGGAAATAGATATAATCACACCCACATTTAAAGGTGTTTTTTAAATAAAAAAAAAATGAACAGAAACTCACTTGTCATTTATACAGCTTGGCCAGTGATACACTATTTGCAACCCTCCAACACTTCTCTGATGAAAATAGGGACATTCCATTTCATAACGATAATTTTATTATTT